TCTCTTCGATCGGGCTTCCAACCTTTCCTGCCTTCTAATGTTCATCCAAACGGGCAGCCGAAAGATAGCAACCAAAACCGGCGCACGATAGTTCATGGTTAATGGTTGTACAACTGAACTGAATCCTTCGTTTTCAGGGTGAAAGCATGCTTGTTTTATACGAAACCAGTTGCCACCGTTTCCTAAACGATTCCACTGCGATGCTCGAATTTCTTTCTTGACGTTGCAGATACGGAATCTATCTGAACACTTTAATTTCTGTGCTCACAGGGTATTCAATATATACGTTCAGATTATGGGCAAGTTGTTGCGGGGTTTCTTCTATATTCAATACAGATCACTGTTAAACGGGTATATTGTCGTTTTTAATTACACATTATCTTCGTCACAGTCATATGATGTTTTTGGTATAGCAATAGCCAATCTGAGCTCTAGAACGACAAATCACACGATTCTAATTAGATAAAAGTGGCATCGTGTCGGACAACAACACAACGGTTGGATGGCGATAGCAGGGTTGTGACCCCTTGACATTAGCCCGAACTGACTTGATCCAAATGACTACCTCTACCAGCTGGTCGCATTCAAGATAATCAAGCATTCTTATTATTTTTTCCCACTTTCACAGGAAACGCAACTTCCAGGACCGGCAGTGGCTGAATTTAATCCACCAATGGCGCAATCGACACAGCAAAAGTAAGTACATACATTTGGTCGGCTTTATTTGCAGTTTTGGTTGCTGTCCTTCGGTTAATGAAGTGAGTGAAATAGGTGAGGAAAGAGTTAAAGAGCTGTTTGTGGTACTAAATTACACCAGGTATACCTCTGACCACCCTTGGCCTTCTGTCACCAACTAACTGCCTTGGAGCCATCATGCTCTGAAAAACACTACCAGGTGATATGCGCAGCACACGTCCTAGTTATGGTTATTTATGAGTGTCAATCGCGTGTTTTAGTATCCCTTTGTACCTTGTCAAGCCAGTTTTTCAGCTTTCCACCATGTCGACTGCTCCAGTTGGGGTAAGGAGGCGGTGCCAAGACAGCTTTGGTCAGGTCGTTGTCAGACTTACGAAGAATGTGACCAAACCATTGTAGACGCCGCCGTTGTATTAGCGTCCGCAGCCTTACAAGATTGAAACACCGATTTCTGACCACTTCATTTGAGAGTTGATCCCTCTATTGTACTCCCAGAATGATTCTTAAGCAGCGGTGATCAAAGACTTCTAATCTGCGACAGTCTTCGACTCTAAGTGGCCAGGTTTCGCAGCCGTATAGTAAAACAAGACTGACTACGGCGGAGAAAACTCGGATTTTTGTCTTGAGACTAATTTCATTTCTACGCCAAAGAGGATTCGTCAGCCATAAGAATGCCCTTGCAGTATCGACGCTCACTTGCACCTCGTCTTTAGCTTTGCCGTTGGGGAGTATGGTTGAGCCCAAGTAGTTGAAGCTTTCGACGGATTCGATCGGCTTGCCGTTTAGTAGTAAACATTTTCGGGATGAATAGGGACTGTCGCAAAGGTTTTGATTTTTGATGTGTTCACCTCCAGGCCGATCTCGGAGGCCTGTCGACTGATGCGGTCATAGATTACTTGGAGGTTGGACATGTCCTCGCCAAAGACGACACTCATCCGCGAACTCTAAGTCGGTGAGCCATAAGTTCGGAGAGATCTGAACTCCCTGGTATCCTTCCATCGAACGACCCATTATCCAGTCAACGGCAAAGTTGAACAGCATTGGGGATAATGGGCACCTCTGTTGCACTTCAGATCCTAACCCGAACGCGCATGACTCCTCTCCGTAGCTGCGGATTCGGACGCTAGTGTTAGAATAGTAGGATCTCATTAAGTTGACAAGTTTAACTAAGACACCGTCGACCAGAACTATGTTCCAGAGGGATCTGCGATCAACGGAGTGGAATGTCGCACTGTTTCCATGCTTACCTTGGGGATCGTTTGACAGCTGTGCAGTTATCATGCCCATCAGTATCTGGCATTTCTCGCTGTTCTCCAATGGAAGCACATTTAGGCGTTTTGAGTGGAAGATCTGCGAGTTGTTAGATGGAGTCTAACTTTCGCACGAACTAGTACGTGATCAGATCCGATTTTGATCCCGCATTCAGCCCCGCGATAGGATCGACAGTCTTCAATCGAAGAAACCCATCGTGAACGGATCAGAGCGTGATCAATTTGATGTACTGTTCGGCCGTCCTTGGAGTACCACGTTAGAAGATGCTTTTTTGGATGTTAAAATCGCATGTTAGTGATACACAATCGATTATAATCGGCGAAGCTGAGTAGTCTGTCACCATTCTCGCAGCGCTGGCCCAGACCAAACCTTCCTAGGATATGCTTTGTGACCTCTTCTTGTGGGTCAGTTCGTGCGTTCCAGTCCCGTGCTATGACAAGTACATCCTCTTTGGGTACTTCATTAACTAGCGATTGACGGCTGCCATAGAACCCATCCTTGGTATTGTTGTCAGATGGGAGAGTCGAGGCTTAGACGCGATTACTGTAAGGTTTACTGGATGACCCTTGAATCGTGCTACTGCACTCCCAGAGGATATTGGTTTCCATGATAGTAAATCACCATTAGCTCGATGGATTAGAACAAGTGCCACTCCGTGTTGACCCGACGTTTCGTTGCCGCTGATACAGCCAGTATTGGCTATCGACACCAGGGATTTTGATACTTTTGGAGCAGGAGCCCGCCAATCTGACTTCTGACAGGCATGTAATATCCAGCTGGTAGTCATGCACCGCACAAAGCGTTAGTGCCTGACTCCTGGCATCTAAGAGTGTTCGTACGTCACAGCATCCAATGTAGGAAGTTTTGTGTAGTTTAAGGTGTCCAGCGCGCCAACTTTTCACCCGAGCCACTGGAGGAGCACAGGGCGCGTCGCCCGGTAACGCCGTAGCATGATTAGCAAGACAGGTTGAGTGAATATCCATGAAATTTCTTGAGAGTTAGGTACAGGAAACGTCCCCGGCTTTGGGTCGAGGTGGCATCTGTAGCCTTTGCACATCCAAGTGCTAACTGCAAGGCAGTAGGTAGGTACTGCATGGTTGCCGGTGGCCCTCTGCGGGGAACTCATACGCCATTGATAGTTGCTAGCTGAACAGGGTCCATGCATCCCTAGTGAGTACGGAGTCATTGCTTCGGCGTGAAACCAACTTCGTCCACCCAACACGTACGTTAGACACCGATTCGCCGGGAGTTGAGCTCTCGGCGTTCACCAATGGAAGTCAAGCTGGATCACAATCTGCGCTAGTCTAGCCGCAGATCGCCGAGCGTGGGTAGCGGCAATTCGGTCTTGCTTGTCCGATTGTCCAACCACACTCAAGCACTGTCGTGCAGACAGCAATGTAATTGTACAACAGTCTTTCTTTACCCTGTTCCCGTAACGGCGATGTCTCTGCACCACACAGGGAACCGGCCCGACAACTGAACCACACACTTGACCCTTCAAAAACATTCAGCTGTCGCTATGGTGCCATAGATGTCTCATTTTGACAAACACTGGCTGAGGCCTTTGTGTGCATACGGACACTTTCGCGATGTGTCTACCTAAATAGCAGCATTGATTTGTTTTTTTCTAAGCCCTCTAGTTGGAGTGGAGTCGGAAGCTAGACGTAAATAATGCTGTGAACACATTTTTGCACTTTGGAAGTGTAAAACATACCGAACAGCACTCAGACGATCTGGAACATATGTTATGCCTTACTCACCAGTTCACTGTCTTCTGCATACTCCAGATCAAACAGCTTGCCTCCTGTATTTTCGCACTAAATCTGAGCCTTTTCCAAAACATATACATCACTTAGTTGAAGAGAAAAGAACACCACTTTTTGTGGTGAACTCGATTCAAACACAACCGCAAGCTCAGACTTGGTCATACTGACATTGCTTTTAGCAGGCCAGTATGCGGCTTGTTGCAGAAGTCATCCAGGGGGCACTTCTTTTCATCATCCCCGACAATGCATCGGGTGGTGTAACACCCCATCACGACGAGACTGCACCTTGACGTGGTGTGATGGCTTGCGAGCTACACAGGATGGCTTCTCATAGCCGTAGATCCAATCATGCCTGAAAGGTCAACGGGTAGAGGCCAGACGAAGACCAGTCTCACAAGACCAGCTGCTTGGGCACCTGGCTTCCTTCCTCT